AAATATGATGTTGATGTACTTATTTTAAATGGCAAATAAAAAAAAATAAGGTAAGAAAGAAATATTACTATAAGAAAAAAAAGAATAACTGTTTAAGATATTGCTACAAAAATCGTTTAAATACTAAAAAAATAATAATTTGAAAAAAAAGTCTGTGGTTAGTTACAGTAGCGTAGCGAGGTCGGGTGTCACCCGGTACGGCACTTAATGGTGTCACCCCCCGTAAAATAAATTATATATATATATATATATATATATATATATATATATATATATATATATATATATATATATATATATATATATATATATATATATATAGCCTAACTTTTTTTTCTCTCTTTTTTTTGCCTCAGACATGTAATTTACAGCGTCAGTTAGCCTTGCATGTTCGCTTTAGTATTACAGTTTTCATCATCGGCTTGTGAGGACTGATACAGATTTACAAAAGAAATACTTCTTTCTTACTTGTAGCCTACTTTCATTTATTTAAGATGGTTTACTAATACATAGATCTAATAAAACACGTATAAATATAAAAAATGATATAAAAATAATAAACAACCTGAAAATAAAATGGCATAACTAGACTAAAATAAAGTGTGCAAACTCGGTTTCTCTTGACTGCTTAGTTTACTGTGTTCCGAAGTGAAAAGTTCACATTGTAGCCACCCATGGACAGAAATAGAAACGACCGTGGGAGAAGGGTCTCAGCCTAAGGATATACAATCTGAGTAAATTTTACAAGCTTTTATTTAACTTGCTTCCTCTGTCTGTCGACAGTCTGTCCAGAGTTTCTTCCAGGCATCTCTTCGGGGGGGGGGAGGCGAAGCCCCCCCCGACAAATTTTTACCGCCCCCCCCCGAACGAAATGAAATTTATATAATTTATATAGAAAATATATACTTTTAACAGTGTCCGCCCCCCCCCCCCCCCCCCGAAGAAAGTCTACCGCCCCCCCGAAAATTTCAAGTGCCCCCCCCCCCCCGGAGAAAAAAGTCTGGAAGAAACACTGAGTCTGTCGTCAGTCTGTCTAGATCGAAACGGCCGAGCGAAATTTCGGACACTACTAACTGACAGTTACGGTTCGTAGTAGTTGGAACGTTGGTCGAGACTTGAAGACAATGCATCATGACATTAAATTTGACTTAATTGGATGCCTAATTAATTTTGTATGAATTCATTAAAATTTAGACCAAATTAGTAGGCAGTTCTATCCAACTACTCCACACGCGTCATCACGTTCAATAGCGCGTCATCACGTTCAATAGGCGCGCAATGGTTTTTAGTCATGTAACTCTATTGTAAATAAAAACATGCTCCAGAACTACGACACCACCTCACCTAACGTCACCTAAAATCAAAACAAGCAATGATCGTTATTCTACTAGTTTAACTTAATCTTATAAATAAATAGTAATACTGAAGAATTGATTTAAGTGCCTCTTTCGAACAAACAAACAATATAAAATGTTTTATAGTAAATTTTAATCTTTGAACCTATTTATCTCAAAATGTTGTTTTTGTGACTTAAGTACTTTTAGCACTAAGGTCTTAAATTCGAAATCAGAGAAAAAGAGACTTACAAGCCCTATTAAAAACGAAAATTGCACGTGTTTTGGACCGCCCCGTCATGCGCTGGGTCGATCTCTAAATCAACATTAAAATTAGTTAACCATTTGAAATGTTCATAATTTAAAAGTTAGGATTTATTTGTTTCTACATCAATTGAGTGACACCAAAATAAAAGGGCAATGTGGATGGTAAAAAACGCCCCGACCTTTTCAAATTAGGGCATTGGGAGTGCATTTTCACAAACGCGAATAAGTATAGGGCTGGTAAGTAGGTCAATAAGCAGTTCTATGGCTCATGCTGGTTTTATTGAGCCGTAGAGCTGGTTGGTGACCTACTTACCAGCCCTATAGGACTATATAGGACCAATTTGGGGTAGGGGCTGCAAAATTGATAGATCGTCGTGGGCGCCGAAATAGATCGCTGCGCCTTTGAACATACCATCCTATAGTTTATAAAAGACAATCAAAGTTATAAATTATTAGGTACTTTTTGATGATGGCGATTACACATCGTTGCGACACATAAGGATAGCGCCCTAGGAGACCGCCTAGCTCGCCTTATAGGTAGCGCCGGCCCTGATCGCGAAGTTGTCTTCTCCCATTCTCAGGGTATTTATTACAGAAACAGGTGAACTCTACTTCACTTTCACCCCTACTGCATACAGCACGGTAAAACGTACATAGTTCACCACTAATGATATAATATAACATTTCTGGTAACTATCCGATTCCCATAAACCACGACTCTACTGTGTACTACTAACACATTTATTTGTAAAATAATTATAACTTTCTTTTTTTCCATTGGATAATTTAATTATCTAATTGCTGAATAATATTTGTAGTTTCTGGTCCCACTGGTTCAGAGGGTCTTGTTTATTAAAGTACAACGATAGGGGTGAAATGCGAGGTAAAAATCAGTGAAATTTTTTTTTTTCATTTTGTAACAATCCATAATAAAAACAAGTAATTAAAAAAAGTCTAGTGACAATTTTAGCGCAATTTCCTTATGTTATCTAAAAATAGCTCTGTCGTAGCGTAAATCAAGAGCAGGGTTAGTAAAACCATTGGTTAGTTATTAAAACGTTTTTTATAAAAAAAAATTTCAGTATTTTACATGTTTTATTTACAATGACTAAAAACCATTGCGCGCCTAGCTACCGATCGTGATGTCGCAGCCATTGAACGTGATGGCGCAGCTATTGAACGTGATGACGCGTGTGGTGTGGTTGCATAAAATGCCTACTAATTCGGTCCAAATTTTAATTAATTCAAAAAAATTTTTGTGACCAAACGAAAGGATATTTTTGAAAACTTTCTTCGGCAATATTGTTCTAAATTATGTCAGGAATCGATTGGTACATGTTTCAAGTCGCTAAGTGGTCTGGTTGCCGAGAAATGGGCCAAAAACTGATTTTTTTCGAGGTTTTTTGGCTTTTCTGGGAAATCCATGAAAGAAACCCGGAATTTTTATGGCCTATGTTCATCCTCGTAACTTGCTTAACATAATTGTTTTTGTAACTAGTCATCGATATTGCTTCGTTGAGGAGGAGATACGACTTAAAGCTGCGGACACACATCCATACATTCATCCATCCATCCATCCATCCATCCAGAAATGACGGGTTAATAAACGCAATTCTCCAGAATGGAAATTGCGCTAAAATTAAATGTAGGAAAACAATTCGTTAAATAATCTACTATAATATTGCACATTTGGTATCGATACCACCTAGGCGTAACTACAATTTCATTGGCTGGTTTTAGGTGTTTTAGTTTTAAATGTTGCTATGCTATGTGTTGCATTTGTGTTGTTGTTAATTCAGTTCCTCACTCCCAAAACCGGAGCTCACCAGTGAGAGTAGTCTCGCTTTGTTTTTTTTTTACAAACAACTCGTGAACATGGATTATAAAACTGTTGTATTAACTATCTTCACTGCTTGTGGTAAAATGTTTAATAATAGTAATTAATCTGAATATTTTTATTTAATTGTAATTAATCTACGCCATCTTTTGTTTTATGTTTATGATAAAAAAAACCTACATACATGATTATTGTTAGTCTTTTTTTCCCCTTTTCCCTTGAGGGGTGGGGTGCAAGTCTAATGCTTGCCTCGCGATGTTGTCGTCATCTCCTCTCAGGGCGAGCCAATCCATCAACAGTTGATGGCTTTAATATCCTTATCGGCTGCTGTTTTATCGGCGTTTTGGACAATCAAAATTTAAGTAAAAAAATCCACTCTTAAGGCTAGGCTGAGTCACATTTTTGTTATTATTTTGCTATTAACTAAATAAATAATAAATGACGTCACGCTCGTAGGGGGGGAGGGGGGGGGGGTCCGTAATTTTGTGACGGTGTGTGATGAGAGGGAAGGGGGGGGGGGGGCAATGTTAGGAAACGAATTTTAGACGTTATTTCGTGTTTTAGAAAACTGTTTTAATAAATTGTAATAGGAATTGATTAAAATACTCTATGTAGACAGAGTCCAGACAGGATTTTAGAAACATATAGATGTTTAAAAAAATTCAACTCCAATTTTGAGGGGGGGGGGAGGGAGTTGTAGGCTGAGGTGTCTGGGGGGGGGGGGGGGTCTGGCTTTTTGTGACGACGTGTGACGGAGGGGAAGGGGGAGGTGAAATCGTCAAAAAAGCGTGACGTCATTTATGGATGACACCCCTACCCCCCCCCCCCCCCACACACACACACACAAATAAATAAAAATAAAATAAAAGTCTGCAAATCAGATTTTTCTGTGAACCTAAAACTTTACTGCCCCTCCTGATTGAAGGTTGATGTTGTAGCAGTCGACCGTAATCATATTAAAAATATAATCCGATGAACGTTTCAGGAATTAAGTGTAGATTAAATTGTAAATTAGGGAAACCTCCGATCCAATTTTTTTTAAAACCCTAACAGTGACTCATGCCCTGAGTCTGTCATTAAATCTAGTCCTAACCCTAAATCAATGAGATGAGTACAGATTGTTAAGAACAATAAATTTAACTACTTTTTGTGCTCTGTGGGGTCCTCCATAAATGACGTCACACTCGTAGGGGGGGAGGGGGGGTCTGTAATTTAATGACGGTGTGTGGATTAGGTGGAGGGGGGGGGGGGTACACTTTTTTGCATTATAAAAAAAGCAATGTTAAAAAAAACGAGTTTTTAGTTTTTATATTTCGCATTTTATAAAACTGTTTTGATAAATTGTAATATGAGTTGATTAAAATACTCTATGTCGACAGAGTTCAGACAAGGTTTTGGAAAAAATACCGATGTTTTAAAGAAAAATTCAACTGCTATTTTGAAAGGGGGTTGTAGGTTGAAGCGTGACGTCATTTTAGGGGAGGGGGGGTCTGGCTTTTTGTGACGATGGGTGACGGAGGAGAAGGGGGGAGGTAAAAATGTCCAAAAAAGCGTGACGTCATTTATGGATGATCCCCCTGGTAAGTTAATTAATGTAGATTAAACCTTGTAACTGACTTAATTCCGAAGATTTCAGTCATTCTGTGATTAAAGATAGTATTCTAATTTATACAGGTGTGTTCAACACAGTCTATGGAGTGTGCACTCTTGGAGATGTTGATGAATGCATGTTGGACCAAAACAAAATGAACACGTCGGATAAGGAATTTATCGTGCAGGTATGTGACTCGAATACTATATGACTCGGGGGAGGGGCGTTGGTTACCAGTGTTTCTTCCAGACTTTTTTCTCCGGGGGGGGGGGGTGGGGTGGCACTTTATATTACGGGGGGACGGGACGGACTACATTTTATGGAAGGGGGGGGGGGCAAAAACTGGTAAACGCTGGTAAACATTAGACTTGCATACAGTGTTTCTTCCAGACTTTTTTCTCCGGGGGGGGGGGGGGGCACTTGAAATTTTCGGGGGGGGGGGGGCGGTAAACTTTCTTCGGGGGGGGGGTGTGGGGGCGGACACTGTTAAAAGTATATATTTTCTATATAAATTATATACATTTCATTTCGTTCGGGGGGGGGGGGGCGGTAGAAATTTTTCGGGGGGAGAGATGCCTGAAAGAAAACTCTGCTTGCATATATAAATTTCATTTCGTTCGGGGGGGGGGGGGGGGACGGTAGACTTTATTCCAAGAGATGCCCGGAAGAAACACTTGTTGGTTACTTACCCTAACGAGAGTTAGGTACCCATCAGAGCTGGGTGGACTCAGGCACGGTCTACTGACTTGAACCCGGATTCGAAATTGAGACTTACGTGTTAGCGTATCATACGCCGCTATTTAGTTGTTTTATTTTCTACTTTTCAGTAAATCAACAGTGCTGCCACTGAAAATATTTGCTTAAAACACTAAAACCCACCTCCCCCCCCCCCCCCCCGTGAAAGCAGCATCCTCTTAGTTACCTCCCCTAAGTTTAAAATAGTTTCAAACTAAATTATCTGCCCCTAATACGCGTCACTAAACCCGGCTCTACGATTGTAAACATTTAGCGTGAACCACAGCTCACCAGACCATGTGGGGGTGGGGTGGTTGCGATATGCCTAGAGAGGAAGAGAGAGGACTGCTAGGCGCGGTTACAGCTTGGTGCTTTCTAAGGTCTCCAAGAAGAGAATTATATATATATATAGATTGTTTTGTTTTTTTTGTCCCCAGAGTTATCATTGATGCTGGATATTGTTTGAGGGGATTGCAAAAATTCTGCCCCGTGAATCAAGATATAATTAACAGGATTGAACACTTCATTGAATATTTACTGGAGCTAGTCAGTACATGTACGCTGGGTTGAACAGTATACTGACATGTGCATTGACAGTTATTGTGTGATGCGATCCCATTCAACACCCATGCATTGATTAACTTGGAATATGCACACAAAGTAACAGTAAAGAAGTTGCGAGTAGTGACTGTTGTGGGACTGATGGTGTTGGATTGGGGGTGGGGTGGGGATAAGGGTGGGGGTGGGTTGGGTTTGGGGATGGTGTGGGGCTAGGTGTAGGTAAGGACACAAAATGTAACAGTGAAGAATTTGCGAGTAGTGACTGTTGTGGGACTGATGGTGTTGGATTGGGGGTGGGGTGGGGATAAGGGTGGGGGTGGGTTGGGTTGGGGATGGTGTGGGGCTAGGTGTAGGTAAGGACACAAAATGTAACAGTGAAGAAGTTGCGAATAGTGAAATTTTGGACCGCTGTGGGACTGGGGGTGTTGGATTGAAGGTGTGGGTGGGACAAGGGGTGGGGTTAGGGTGGGGTTTGGACCAGGGGTGGGTAAGGACACTAACTGAAACAGTAAGCAAGTTGCGAATAGTGGAATTTATTACTGCTGCGTGGCTGGGGGTGTTTAGTTGGGGTGTGGGGCTAGGGGTGGGGTTGGTTTGGGGGTGGGCAAGGACACAAACTGTAACAGTGAAGGAGTTGCGTGCAGTTATATAATATTTTTCTCCACTAAAATGATAAAATATTATGGGGAAGGGTGACACCAAATTAAAAATACAAAATTATTGGAAGGGTGGGGCGACACCTTAAGCTACCACACCGGTTGACACTCGTCCATGAGACGCCACTGCAATAGATGTATATAATTTATAAGGTTTTTCACAGAGGCCAGTGCAGGGCCTGGCCGGGGCGGCTAATATCAATATAAAACGTACTAATATCTTCTTTAAACCAATGGTACATTACAGTTCACATTAACTTGAATTCTAAATGCGGTTTGTTATGTTTAAAACAGGCCCTGTTGAAGACAAGCGGAAATGTGAAAAGAACTTGCAGACTTGCATGGAAAATTACGGTCGGAATATTTCTACGAGAGAAAACGATGGAATGAATATGGAGTCAATATGCAGGTAAGGCAATGTAGAAATAGTTAAAAATTGTTTAACTTGTAACCTCAAGATTAATTAACTAAGGATATTAAACTATTTGGAGTAGTGTTACACAGTAGGCTACTTCTAACTTAATATATACGAAAGTCCGAAACAATAGAATCGATCTTATAGTTGTTTGAAAAGTTGAGTAAAAAGTACTGATTAAAAAAGATATATTTAGAAGAACAGAAAATAATGCTTAAAATTAATTTTGTTATAATCTAGTATTAAATTTTAACTAATAATTGTCTTATCTTTAATTTAAACGAAGAAGTATAATTTAAACCAAATAGTATAATGTAAACAAAGAAGTTGCATTTCAGTCAATCAGTATATTTTGAACCAATAAGTATAATTTAAACCAAGAAGTATAACTTAAACCTAAATTCAAAACACTTATTTGGTTGTATGTTCTAGAGAACTACCAAACGCAATAGCCTGTGTAGAGGGGGCAGCACACTCCTGTAAGAAGGAATTTGAGCAGAAGATGTACAACAGGACTATCTCATCGTTACGCATTCTTCTAGAACCTTGTAAGTTTAAATTCTTTCAAACTATATGTGTTGCCTGAACTGTATGAAATATGTGTCTATGTACAATATATCAGTTATTTTTTCCCCAGACATTTTCTCCGAGGCTGCAGTTAAACCTTCCCGATGGGAGGAGGGGGCGGGTGACGTACAATGGTTAAAGTATATATATATATATATATATATATATATATATATATATATATATATATATATATATATATATACATATATATATATATATATATATATATATATATATATATATATATATATATATATATATATGTGGGACGGAGTGGCCTAGCGGTAGAGAGCTGGACTGCTCGAGTTCGAATCCGGGTTCAAGTCAGTAGACCGTCCCTTAGTCCACCCAACTCTGATGGGTACCTAACTCCTGTTAGGGAAAGTAAAGGCGGCTGGGCATAGTGCTGACCACACTATCTCTACATATGCCGAGGTCACAGAAGTGAACTCTACTTCACTTGCCCCATAGACCGTCAGGTTTGAAAGGGAAACTTTACATTTTTACTTATATATATATATATATATATATATATATATATATATATAAATATATATATATATATATATATATATATATATAATATATATATATATATATATATATTGCATTTCATCTTGAGATGGGTGTGAGGGTCTAGTGGGGGTGGGGAAGACGACGAAGGTGGTGATGTTCCGTAATGAAGAGGGCAGTTATAGAAACTGCATGGAATATCCCCCCCCTCTCTCTCTCTCTCTGAATACATACACGTAGGGCCTATATTTTTACAGGCTAATTGGTAGAGCATTTAAGTTTGTAACAAAAAATACTTAACGTTTTAATATCATTATACTAAATTTTAAATACCTTACGTACAGCAGTATGATATATATATATATATGTATATGTTATATATAGCTTAATATATCATGTATATATGTGTGTGTAAACAAATATACATGTATACATGCATTTATATATATATATATATATATATATATATATATATATATATATATATATATATATATATATATATATATATATATATATATATATATAATATATATATAAATATACATATACATGTATATATACATGTATACATTTTTACAGGCAACATTACAGATGGTCCTTTAACGACAGGTATGATACAGATTTTATACACAATTACAAAGCTTTTATTTTATGTACTGAATCAAACATCTATTTAGGTCACATTTATGGCACATTGCATTTCCATCGAGTCTTGACCTACATAAAAAGTTGGAAACAAATTGGCACAATAGAAGTAATTATTTTTGGAGAAAACGGAAAACCGTAAATAACTACTTCTAGTTACCGGGAATCACTCAAAATTGGACAAAATCAAGAAAATAAGATTTTACATCTATTTATAAAATGTTACCTCCCTCTAATGATACATCTATGTTTTCTATAGAGACAGAAAACAAAGCAAAGTACCGCGTCCGGATATCAGGGTTCACTCAAAATTTAAAAGTTTTTTAATTATAAGATTTTTTATACTTATATATCAAATTTCGTCTGCCTAAATGAAACACAACACAAGTTATAATGTTTCCAAGGAAATTGAATAACGTGCCATTGCCGGTTAACGGAAATCGTTAAAAGTTTGACACAAATTTTAGCATACGTATATTTGAAATTGCTTCAAATTAATAGTTATTCATGTTATAGACTTTTGAGAAACCGGAAACTTACTTGAAACTGCCCAAAAGTTGATAGAAGACTACACACGCGGAATAATACTTATTTATGAAATTTGATCAATATGACTGAAACGGTACTGAAGTTATCGTATTTCATATATACAGACAGACAGACAGACAGGCCGTATTTCATATATACAGACAGACAGACAGACAGGCAGGCAGGCAGGCAGGCAGGCAGGCAGGCAGGCAGGCAGGCAGACAGGCAGGCAGGCAGGCAGGCAGGCAGGCAGACCGACCGACCGACCGACCGACCGACCGACGACCGACCGACCGACCGACCGACCGACCGACCGACCGACCGACCGACCGACCGACCGACCGACCGACCGACCCGACCGACCGACCGACCGACCGACCGACCGACCGACCGACCGACCGACCGACCGACCGACCGACCGACCGACCGACCGACCGACCGACCGACCGACCGACCGACCGACCGACCGACCGACCGGACCGACCGACCGACCGACCGACCGACCCGACCGACAGACAGACAGACAGACAGACAGACAGACAGACAGACAGACAGACAGACAGACAGACAGACAGACAGACAGACAGACAGACAGACAGACAGACAGACAGACAGACAGACAGACAGACAGACAGACAGACAGACATGAGAAGTTTAGCTTCTCCTGCTCCGGAATGTTACAAAACATCAATATTTGTCAAAATCTCGATTTATATTTTTGCACGATTTACAATGCTCAACGGCGTAAACTAACAAAATCTTTTTAATTTTTTTCCCCCACGATTACAATACTTTCTCTATGACACATTTTTTTTTCAGCTTTGTCAACATCAGATTCCGCTGTTTGCACTCTTCATGATTTGTATACATGCGTAACAAATCTGTCGCAGATGAATCACCAGACTGTTTACCAAGATGTGTGCAGGTATGTGCTTCCATAATGCCAGAGGCGTAGCGACAATTCCAGGCGCCCCGGGACAAACTTTCAATTTGGCACCCCCCTCGGGAACAACCTTTCAATTTGCACCCCCCTCAAACTTTCAATTTGCACCTCCCTCAACTTACAATTAGTTTTCCAAACCCATTTTGGCTCCCCCTAAGGTCGGCGCCCGGGGACATATGCAGCCCCCCGCCCCCTCGCTCCGCCTCTATATAATGCATAATGTCATCTTTTAGTTTTTGAGCTAATTACGATGTTTTTACTGTGGTGTAGTTTTGTATTGGTGTAGTTACTATGGTGTAGTTTTGTATTGGTGTAGTTACAGTGGTGTAGTTTTGTATTGGTGTAGTTACTATGGTGTAGTTTTGTATTGGTGTAGTTACAGTGGTGTAGTTTTGTATTGGTGTAGTTACTATGGTGTAGTTTTGTATTGGTGTAGTTACTGTGGTGTAGTTTTTGTATTGGTGTAGGTAGTTACTGTGGTGTAGTTTTGTATTGGTTGTAGTTACTATGGTGTAGTTTTGTATTGGTGTAGTTACTGTGGTGTAGTTTTGTATTGGTGTAGGTAGTTACTGTGGTGTAGTTTTGTATTGGTGTAGTTACTGTGGTGTAGTTTTGTATTGGTGTAGTTACTGTGCTGTAGTTTTGTATTGGTGTAGTTACTGTGGTGTAGTTTTGTATTGGTGTAGTTACTGTGATGTAGTTTTGTATTGGTGTAGTTACTGTGGTGTAGTTTTGTGTTGGTGTAGTTACTGTATATATACGGTATATAAAAATAAAAGTCGATTTTGATTTGACACCGTTCATCCGACAGCCCCCCCCCCCCGGCAGGATGCGATTTGGCGATCTGGTCTTTCCCGTGAACACTATGACGACAACGTTAGGTCTAAACAGTGTGATAGACAGTGTGATAGGATGGGGCGTTACAAACACTCTCTAAATTGAATTAGGCTTGTCCGCCGCCGCCTGGTAGGGTGCGATTTGGCTGCAAACAAAAATTCCAGTTTCGGTCTCCACAGGCTCACATGGGCCGATGAGGGCCATGTAATACGGTTTATTTTAATAATCAGAAAAATTAACCAATGTTAGATTATTAACTGGGATGTTTCTTTTGTCCGTAAAAAAACCCAAATAGTTTAGTCACTTTGCGAATGATGCAATTAGTATCTATTTTTAGACAATCCAACCAGAAATAGACCATTAGTTACGCTGACATATAGCATCAGTTACACTGATGTTTAAAACACGTCAAATAATGTTTTTACGTGTTAAAGAAAAAATCCTGTTAATTTGTGTCACTTTAGCGAATGACGCAATCTGCATCATTGTTAACAGGATGCTATTTGGCACTCTGGGTTATCCTATAAGCACGATGGCGCCTGTTAGTTTTAAAGAGCAAGGGGCCGTACGCGGCGCCTATGCGGTAGTGTAATCGGGTGTTGGGGGGGGGGGGGCTTCTGAGAGCGCCTATTTACATCCCTGACACATGGGCGGTCACCGAAGTGTGTTCTACCTAATTATTTCGGTGATTAATTAATGTACACTCAAGGTTTTCATGCAGTAGTTTAGACAAACCCGTGTCCGATATTTGTGATCCAAGCGCAGGCATTGTTTACATTTAAATAACTCACTTTTAGAAAACAAGGTCACGCGTCTAAGAATATAGGATTGGTAACGCATGGATCAAACCCTTCCTATATACTTCGTCGGACTTTCTTCTATTCCGTGGCAACGAGCGGGGACGGGTACGCTAGTATATATATATATATATATATATATATATATATATATATATATATATATATATATATATATATATATATATATATATATATATATATATATATATATATATATATATCTATATATATAATTCTCCTCTTCGAGCCGTTAGAAAAACAAGCTGCAAACGCTCTACCTACCTCCCCACCCCTACATGGTTTTAGTGAGCTGTGTTCACTCTAAATGTTTACAAGCAGAGCCAACGATTTTAAACGTAGGGGGGGGGGGGAAGGAAGGGGGGGTTATGGTCCTTAACGAGCTACTTATAGTGTTTTAAAGAAATATTTTCAGTGTCAGCGTTGGTACTGTCGAATTCACAAATTATGAATTATTGAAAATTAGAAACAACTAAATAGCGGCGTATGTTATGCCGCGGGCCGGCTC